GCGCCCTCTGTTGTTGATTGATAAAACCTGCAAAAATTGTGCACTGTAAAATAGGAAAGAAAAAAACCTGCCCTATTTTTTGAATTGTTCGAGCAAAAATTCTTTTTTTTGCAAAGCAAGATTTTTTTTAAATCATGTAAATCTAGGTTTAATATTTTCTCAGATTTGTTGCAAACTTGTTAGGAGTGTAACCTTTATACAACATCACTGAGAAATCCTGTAAACAAATTTATTGGTGTCATCCATCTTTAATAATCATAACATAATGTGTATAATGTGCTCTTCATAAATTGGAAATCTGAAATTCTTGATTTCTTGATTGGATATAAGAAAGTTGTATATTTTCACATGTTTACTTATAGAATGGTGCTCTTCGACTTGTTGATAGAAAGAAACATATCTTCAAACTTGCTCAGGTAAGATATTTAACATGGCTTTATTTTTTTCATTTAGACTAATTGCTTTACCAGCATGCTGAATCAGGATATGCGACCTTTAGTGTCATACAAAGTTTTAGAATGTACGACCTTTAGGGTCGTACAAAATTCCAGGATGTGTGACCTTTAGGGGGTCGTACACAATTCCAGGATGTGTGACCTTTAGGGGGTCGTACAAAATTCCAGGATGTGTGACCTTTAGGGGGTCGTACAAAATTCCAGGATGTGTGACCTTTAGGGGTCATACTGAGTTCCAGGATGTGTGACCTTTAGGGGGTCGTACAAAATTCCAGGATGTGTGACCTTTAGGGGTCATACTGAGTTCCAGGATGTGTGACCTTTAGGGGTCGTACAAAATTCCAGGATGTGTGACCTTTAGGGGGTCGTACACAATTCCAGGATGTGTGACCTTTAGGGGGTCGTACAAAATTCCAGGATGTGTGACCTTTAGGGGGTCGTACAAAATTCCAGGATGTGTGACCTTTAGGGGTCATACTGAGTTCCAGGATGTGTGACCTTTAGGGGGTCGTACAAAATTCCAGGATGTGTGACCTTTAGGGGTCATACTGAGTTCCAGGATGTGTGACCTTTAGGGGTTGTACAAAATTCCAGGATGTGTGACCTTTAGGGGTCATACTGAGTTCCAGGATGTGTGACCTTTAGGGGGTCGTACAAAATTCCAGGATGTGTGACCTTTAGGGGTCATACTGAGTTCCAGGATGTGTGACCTTTAGGGGTCGTACAAAATTCCAGGATGCGTGACCTTTAGGGGTCATACTAAATTCCAGGATGTGTGACCTTCATGGGTCATACTGAGTTCCAGGATGTGTGACCTTTAGGGGTCATACTAAATTCCAGGATGTGTGACCTTCATGGGTCATACTGAGTTCCAGGATGTGTGACCTTTAGGGGTCATACTGAGTTCCAGGATGTGTGACCTTTAAGGGGTCATACAAAATTCCAGGATGTGTGACCTTTAAGGGGTCATACAAAATTCCAGGATGTGTGACCTTTAGGGGTCATACAAAATTCCAGGATATACGACCTAAACTAAATAAGTTATTCGTGATATAGAATAGTGACTAATGATCAAGATATTATTCGATAGATTGAGTCATTTCTGCTGTGTTTTAGGGCGAATACTTGGCACCAGAGAAAATTGAGTCTATCTACATAAGGAGTCCATTTGTACTTCAAGTATTTGTACATGGTGACAGTTTTAAAGTAAGTATGTTTGAAGGCACTCCCAGCAACATCATCAGTATTCCCCGAGCCATATTTTTGCTAAATTTTCTTGGACACTGATAAATATAGCTTTTATTTCGTTGATGTAAGAATGTTGTTTTGTGGTGCACACTATACATGCAATATTCAAATTATTGTTTAAGTAACTTGGGGAAGAAGCTTTGAGTGTCACAGTCATCGTGCAGCAGGTGTTCCATGTAAAATAGATATTGTATGTGGTGTGTGGGACCCATATTGAACAGAACACAGCATGGTGATTCTCTGTTCAACTGCGAGATCTCACGAGTTGCATGAAAGACACCTACCGGTACTGAACGTCTGCCACAAAAAGCGAACGATTTGATTTTGAACTTGAATTTCTTTATTTTGTAGCTTACATCGAAAGGCCAATCTTTGACAGGGGAATATTGCATTTGAGTACCCTTACTTCATCAAAATTGATCATTGTCAAATGTGTACAGCACATTATTAAGCATGGAAATATCCCCCGAAATACTTTTGCGTTTTTGTTTGTCCTGTTTTTACGTTCAATTTCACACATATTGCATGATCTCGCAGTGAACGGAAAATGGTTTATTGGTACATTGTCTTCTCTTTAAATTTGATCCAGAATTTAGATATTCCCAAGCTGAATATTAGAAATGTTGGTAGCTATGTTCATAGAATGTTTTCAGATGTAAAGAGTTGTCAGCAATTTATTGCTTTTGAAGCATTAGTGAAAACGTGCAATATTAAATCCAGCTGATTCATCATAGTTTGATTTGGATTTCATTTAAAGAATTATGCTGTTGCTGTCATTGTACCTGATCCAGATGAACTTTCAAAATGGGCAAAAAGTAATGAAATATCAGGAACGCTACAGGAACTCTGTAAAAATAAGGTTGGTATTCTAGCAATAAAATAAATGGCGCCCTTTTCACTCTCTTGAGGGAGAAATGTTTTTAATATATCAGAAAGATACATGTATATTTGGTTTACTAGAATCTCCTTTCCAGTTATTTGTTTCAATTGATTTTAAGTATATCAAACCAGTATTTGACACAGGGTAGGTAACTTTTCAGCAGCACTGCCAAAAAGTTACAAGCACTACATTAAAGATTGTTTTCATTACCGTACTTCCCCAGTCATAAGCCTAGGGCATCAACATGTAAAATCGAGAAAAGTACTAAGGGGTGGTAATTTGCAAAAGTAGATAGTGATCGAAAGGTCTGAGTAATTTCAATGTCTGTTTGGTCATCACTTCCATGTTGATCTAAGAACTTGATATCCGAGTTAAATGCCCCATTGTTGAAACCTTTTTTTAATACACAAGTTGAAGTCAGAGTGTTTTCATTTAAGTAGTAGTCTTCCATAATTTAGTTTAAGCACTCACTCAATCAAAAAGTTTGCTGAATTGTTTTCTCCTGATTTCAGGATGTCAAGAAAGCTATTTTAGAAGATATACAATCTAGAGGCAAAGAATATGGGTTAAAATCATTTGAGCAGGTAAGAAGATTATTCATTTTGAAAACAATAGAATTCAATGAAAACAAGATAATTCATCCATCCATAAAACGTCATACAAACATGCCTTATTTGGAAAATAAAAACATTTGAACAAGTAAAAAAGAACTATGAGCTATTTCTATTTATCATACATCTTGCAGTTGAACATTTGAATTCATTCATCCATGAAACAACATACAGATGTGTACAACTGTGTTATGTCACTACATCATGATTATAAGCAAGAAAAGATGTATTATAATGAGGTTACCATCAGAATGCCTCTCAGGCATGGTTATTTTTGTCCACAGTGCAGTGTGCCTCACTGCCTCTGTCTCTGCCACAGAGGGTGGTGAACCAAATATACAATTTTTCATTTCAATATATCTAACTCTAATATCAGTTGAAACTGTTCATAGATGAATTTGTATGATGTTTTCATACCATAGATACCATTGTGCAATTCCTACAAACAGTTTCAACTGATATTAGAGTTGGATATATTGAAATGAAAAATTTTGTATATTCCTTACATAACAGTAGTAATAATATTTATTATTATACATCTGTCACGGTAACGCCATAAGTTACAGCGTGCCATAATTTTGCGGTATTTTACGGGGTATTTTTATACTACCATATTTGGAAATGCGAATTCCAAATCTGGAATGATCACGCGCGTAAGCGTCCTCTAATAATAAAAACAAACATGGATGCCACCAGGATTTGACCGGACTCCATACAAAGAAGTTCGCTGATTCTGTTCTAAACTTTTTGGATTTCGGCATTCCCATGATGTATCCTTGGTAGGAAAAGATGTATAATAATAAGGTCATTACGAAGATACCTCAAAGTATGCACTCAGACAGTACGCTGTCGCATCGAGCTCCACTGCGCGTCGGTCGATACTGCCACTGTACTGTCTTCGTGCATACTTTGAGATATCTTCGTAATAACCTTATTATTATAGACACTGTGACTATTAAAAACATCATGATTTTCTGCTGTTTTGATTGGAGTACAAAATGAAATTGTCATTCCCTATTGTATAAATAATATGTAGTCACAGTTCTCCTTACAATTTCTTTTTTTTCACCAGGCCAAAGATATACATGTGGTACCTGACCAATTTACAGTAGAAAATGGTTTGTTGACACCAACCTCTAAATCAAAACGACCAGCATTGAAGAAATATTTTATGACTGAATTGGAAGCACTGTATAAGGAATAATATGATTTTCTAATATTTTAAAGTGGATTTAAATTTTTATATTCAGATTTATCATGAAGAACTATTAATTATTTGAAATCCGTTGTCAAAATATACAGAAGTAACAATAAATACCAGATCCATTTTTTGAACAAATGTTAATGAAGATCTGTAGGCAATGGGAAATTGTGTGCATTTGAACCAATTTTTTTGTTCAAAGAATTATAGAAATTTATTGAAAAATATATGCAAATTACTGTACCAACTTTTAGTTAGAAAAGATAGCATTCAAATAGAGAAGCAGACAACAAACGTGATTTTTGGTTTACATGCAATACTATTCGAGATGGGCTTCTAATGGAGCAAATTTGATTGTATACATTACATGTTTTTCAAGGAAAATAACAAATTTGAACTTTCCACAATTGGATGGCTTCCTTAATTTAAACCAAACATACATTGTGTTGTTCAAAATCATCTTGCTATTTAGCAAATATCTTTGAACTTGACACGTATAATCAACTACAAATGAATATAATGGTGATCCATGACATAATAATCATTTCACTTTTGTTTTTAATCCATTTCATGTTGTCTGGAAGTTTAAATTTGTGCACAGTTCCTCATCTATCCTGAAATGTATGCCCTATCTGAGAGTCTGCTACCACAGCCAAGGAATGATAAATTGAAAATGCAAAATTGATCGTTTTGGAGATGAACCAATAAAAAATAACATGAACATACAATTTACAGCACATTTGATACATGTGTGTGTAACCACCGGCCACATTTCTTCACCTATCATCTACTTTACATGTAGCTAAGTCAGTAGAGTAACCATGACTATGGTTCTTCTATTTTCGATATTAAGATGCACTGCACCTTGATATCCAGTTTTAGGGCCCCCATCCAATGACATACTGAACAATATTGTCCCACACATGTGTGGGTGTCTTGCGTTTACCAAGTTTCAATGATATCTCAAGACCCACCTAAAATTGGGTTTATTTGTTCTACAGTTGATTGGAACTTGATAGATATCGCGTTTGCTATAATATAATATTCCATTATTATATCATGGATCATTAAAAACTTTCGACCATTACGTATATGAACACACACAAATACAGTGTTCATTTTGTGACAATATCCGACAATTTTCAGCTTCTTTGATTCTTTTGGCAAAGGATGGATTAATATGATAAATTAATGGATAAATTATGTAATTAGCTCATTTGCATATTATGTAAAGAGCTCATTTGCATACTGTAAATGCTTAATTATATACCGGTTTTTAATTTCACTGTTTTCGTTAATAAGTAAAATTCACTAAATTAAATCTACATCTCTTTGTTTCTTTGTCAAATAAACTTAAATTTGAACTTAAAAATCAGTTAAATTGCTCAAAACATCAAAATAGTGAGAATAAATGCCAGTGACAATAAATGGTTTTACAGTATTCATTTTATGGGTCATTCAACATTATCAAAACAATACTTACCATTGTATCTGAAAATTGTCTATGCAATGTTACATCAATACAATAGATAATTTTAAATACCAGTACATGTACTAATACAAGTATGGGAGTACTTTCTCATTCGTTAGATTAACCTTGTTATGTCTTTCTTGCAAATCATAGTACCTTGAATACAGACACATATACATGCGACTTTTGAACACTTTTACTGTATCACACATTGCATCATGGGAAGAAAATAGATACAGAAAACTTTTGGGTGAAACTAAAAACAGTTTGTAACTAGAAAGCACTCTTAGCGTGTAAACCTCCGCCACAGCTGCAAAGTACTTACAATGATCCTATTAGGCAGTGAAGAATTCTTCCAAAAATCCTTGTGTCCATGACTAGATCTCCCAAAATTTGATTGATTTCTTTTTGTCACAAGGGCAGCTTCTCCTAAAAACTTCATAAAATTTTTTTTATAACTTTTTGAGTCATCAAGAAATGAAGAATCCCTCAAAAATTGTCAAAGGTGGAAGTATCTAATAATGAGGTCGCAAAACAGAAAGTTTCTGATCAATTTGTTTTTGCAAAAATTGATGCATTTTGCCCTCAAACTAGCAATATAAAAGCAAGTTTTATAAAAGTAATTATAAAATAAGCTAGAAGTGCATTTTAATGCAATTGCAAATACTTATTTTTTTTGTTTTCAGTACACAGTATATTCTGATTATCTATGTATAACTGAGAAACCAAATGTAATGGTATAATAAATACATTTTTGATAAATGTCTTGTTTTTTGATTTGTTTTGTTCATTCAAAAATTTCAGTTTTCCTGAAAAATGTTGCTGGATGTAAGCTGCCCTCTTGTGAGCAGAAAGGAGAGTACTGTAAAATCTGTATTAGAAGCTGCAGTGGTACAATGCAACAGAGGGAATGTGGCTATCTACACATACACAAAATGGTGGATTTTTGGTTCTCAATTATTCAACAACAACAACAACAAATATGTTTGGCTTCTAATACAGATTTTATGGTACTGATATTCTATTTTTTTTTAACAAAAAAAGTTTGGATTAAAAATCGTTTTTACCATGTTCATGTTTGAGGTGGGCCATTAGAAATGTGATTTTTTTTATGAAAAACAGGACAAAAAATAGAAAGATCTGTTTCTGATGTGCATCAGTTTAAAATGGGCTGTGCACTTGAATGAAAACTGTGCATTGAGAACTTGAGAACAAACAAAAAAATATTAAATATCATTTGTTTTAGCCCAATTTTCAGATGGCTGTAGAGAATCTGTACCAAGAAATAAGTAAAATAAATTGGCCTTTATACTTATGATTTTTTTATTTCAATTGTAGGCCTATAGAGGGCTTCCTTGAAGTGAACTTAGATTAAGGGACAGGTCCTTTGAAATTAGGGGGGCTGAGACAAAAGTTTTTTTCCAACAGATGTGCAGGCACAACTTGAAGCTGAGCAGGTTGATAAGATGAAGTAGCATATATCTGAAATTGAATTTTAGCACATCTGGAATTACGAGTAAAACAAATCTGGGCTAAGTGATGTGGCTTTGTCCCTTCTCCTATTACATATTATTGTTGCTATGGAAACAAACATTTCTATGTTTTCCACTACAAAAATTCATGACATCACTTCTTTCACAGCCCTCCAAAAAATAAACGTCTTCTCAGGAATTGATATGAGTTTTTTTTTTTTTATTTAACGATGGCATAAAATTGGGCCTTTATTTTCATAATTCATGAAAATTGAATTTTTCTTTTTCCTATTTCAAAAAATACTGACACACCACTTAAAAAAGTGACAATCACATCATATTCACAATTGCTGCTTGTGATGGCCAGGAACCTGAGTATATTTTGTTATGGACCAAGTTTTCTATTCAAAAGAACTGAAAATATTATAAACCAATGCCTATATAATAGAATATTTCGAGCTTCCGTTTAGAAAGTACACATACCTATTGATTTAGCATGCAAATATTAAAAAATCATAACAAATTTATACAAAATTGTTGACTTAATGAAGTTTGAAAATGCTAGTATTGAGTTTAGAAAAAAATAAAGTTGTGACAGCTCATGGAGCTCCATGGACAGCTTAAACAAAACTTCTTCAAATCTTCAAAATATGAACATTTCGAGCCTGGGGGACTGTGAATGTGATGCAAGAATACGGGAGGTTCGCTTCCGCCAGAAGAAAATGGGGTGACTCACGAAACGCAGATAACATACAAGAGACCGGATTTCAAAGTTGTGACAGTGTTGGTTATTTTGGGTGATGAGCTCATCAACTTGAAGTTTACTTGAGTTCGAGTACCCCACCGTTACTGCATGACCACAACATGTGGACAAATCACTTAGTATCTGCAGACAGCTTGATAATAATAAACAAGTCTGGAACACTCCATTTCTTTCGATGTAACTTGTTTAACAAAGTAGAAGATGCGCTACAATAGCCGTGCTGAAAACTCAAATTTGAAATTAATAATATATACTAATTTTAGGTAGTATATCTGTTCTGTTAAGACAGGAATTTCTATATTATACAAATAAACAAAATGATTTTGAATATATTTCCATAGCTCCTCTAGATTAAAATGGAATGACCCATCAGCTGACCCCTCTTCAGAATACATTACGCAAATCAGTCATACTGTTGAGAAAATGGCGGACAGCGCGAGTGAGAGCGATACGGACTCGACAAAATTAACATCTCCAGGCCAACTGGAGCAGCTTCGTAGCCGAGTTGCTTCGCTAGAACAGCAAAATAGGGTGTTAAAGATAGAAGTGGAAACGTATAAGCTAAAATGCAAGGCATTACAAGAAGATAACCGAGAATTAAGGATGGTTAGCGTGTCCATTGTAAGTAAACCAATATCCTTGTTTTTCAAAAAATCTTCTTGGGCCCTACAACGTGTTTGCCAAACAAACAGCTGTTTTTTGTGTTTAAAATATCTTTTACAGGTGTTTTCATTATTTATAAACATATAATCAGTAAATTTGGTACTCCGTTTTTGTCACGAGCATTCTATAAATCAGTGAGTTTAATATTTGTTTTATAATTGCTGGCGAAAATAAATTTTGGTTATGAAATTAAAGTCGTTTATGTGCTGACGTAAACTGAATTGTGAATAATTTCTGTCCTGTCTTGGTATTACGTAATCACATATTGTCTTAATTTATTTGTATGTGAAAATGACGTGCCAGTAATTAATGAAATGCAAAAAATTTGCAAATCGTTTGTGTTTTTCCCCCACAGCCGATGACCTTTTCGCCTGCGGTTACGACCATTCGCTTTCATTCATTATGCGACACGATAAATAAAGAAAGCAATTTTGCTTGTTTTAATATATGGAACTAAAAAATAGTTCATTCTCTTCGGTTTGTGTTACAGTTCATCTAATAGTTTGTCTACTTTAAAACATGTCAAAACTTTTTCTACGGGACGCTTCTACACAATATAAAAAAGGTTTTAAAAAGTTTTAAATTGTCAGTACAGAAATTGAAAAGCGAAAGCCTGAAGGGGGAGGGGCTGTAAACTTTAATAGGTGCCCTTTATTGTATTTGACATGGAAACAGAACGTAAAGAAAGCAAATCAATATGTTTACATAATTTTGCTATTCACACTCCATTGGGTGTTGTTGGAGACATAGTAGTGCTGCCTGTAGTGTCTACGCCCAGGTGTCTATGTTACAGCATAATAATATTTAGTATTTGAAACCATAGCCCTACATTTGTTGTAGTGGGGTGAATCACATGTACATTGTGGGTGAGCTAAAATAGGAAATGAAAAACAAAATTACCATCTACATTATTTAAAATGTGTGGCTTTTAGAATGTTATAGAATTTAATATTTGTAGGTGGAAAACTCACAAACTACTTGTCCTTGCCTTGAAAATGTGATATAAATATAATATTATTCATGTTCACAATGAGAATGCATGTATCAATTGCATACACCATATGTGCTAGGTGATATGTACTGCTGATCCAAGAGGGCATCTGAAATTGAGGCACATAACATCTAAAAATGTCTGTTTGTCTGACTTTAATGCCGACTTTTTAACAGAGCTTTTACAAAATAACCAGTATAAGCTTATAATACAGCTTATATGGTGCACGATGTAACTTGATCTTTTTTTTTTTTTATTTACTTTACATGCAGTGGTCATATTTTGAAACTTGGCACCCAGTATGTCTAAAATGCATTTTTTCTTTATTTTATTTTCACATGTATACTCAAACTAGATATATTTTAAATAAATTTAATTTGTTCAGTGTATATAGATAAATTGCTAGTCAGCAACTCTGATAATCTTGAAATAAACACTGACTGTTTGTGTCGTCACACATTTGGTTCATTCTCCATAACAACTTCACCAGATAATCTATTTACATTTGTTTTGACAGACTGAGTACTGAGTAGGTAAATATCATCTGTTGAAAATTGTTATTGTAATTTTCATACCAAGGGTAATATAATACATTGAATAGTTTATTAATACTCTATCCACCATTTGAAACTGAAATGCCGATCATTGAATCGAAAAAACTGAACATAATTATTGCTATACCCATCATCATGAAAAGAATCATACATTTTTTTGTTTTCGTTTTGAAATTGTTGGATCAAACAACTTTACAAACCGATCACAGCTTCTAGTTTTAATTTGGATAATATAATTTCTTGAAAAAAGGCGTTCACAAAGACAGTGCAATGAACCTACTGTTTACATCATTATACTGGAAATAACACTCCTTCCTGTGAAATAATAGGTGATTCTCCGTTCAACTGTGAGATCTCGCGAGATGCATGAAAGACTCACGTTGAACGTCTGCCGCAAAAATCGTACGATTTGATTTTGAACTCACATCGATCGGCCGATCTTCGACAGAGGAATATTGCTTTCGAAATACCCTCAAATTGTCTATCATCAAATGTATACAGCACATTATTAGGCATGGAAATGCCCCCCCCCCCCCAATATTTCACGTTTGTCGAATCCCACACGATTTTTGACGCCACTACGACGCTATGACCTTTGTTTGTCCTGTTTTTACGTTCGATTTAACGCATAGCGCATGATTCTCACAGTGAACGGAAAATGGTCTATTGTTTACAATCACCAATTAATTGTGAGTTCAAAGATGACATGTCATAAAGTTAATAGTTACTGGTACATCACTTGTCAGCAAATTAGTTGATGTGGTAGTTGAATGCAGATATGAAAAAGATTTGTATGAGCAGTGTTCTTCATAGGGAATTAATGAGGCAGTGTATCCCTCTTTGTGTACTTCTCTTTAATTTGTCTGCCGCCCTTCTTGATTACTCACTCAATACAAGTAGAAAGGAAGTGAACAAATGCTTGACAGGACAACATTTATAAACACGTGTAGTGAAACCCTGAACAAGGACGCAGCGCCCTCATGCCATGGCCATGCGCCCCTTTACCCTGGGGAGCAGATCCTCTGGCAACCATAAAATTCTGATTGACCAGAGATCACATGTGGCCACAGTCTTCAACTGTGACCCGATAGTAATTTTGGCCCTAAGGAAGCCATAGAATGTTCCATTTTAACTTGGAATTATCAAAAGCTCCACACCCTGGTAGGGAGAACCCTATCTCCCCCACTTAGTGGCGCCGCTGAATTGCAGTGCTCCCTCTTGCAGTTTTTTTCTAGAAAAACCCCTGGAACAAGTGATGATCCTATGCTCTCTGTCATTAGTAAATTAAATTTTTTTATCACAATTTACTAAATATCTCAATATGAATATGGGAAATATTTATTAATTTATGTTCTCAATTACCGCATTAACTAATACTCAACAAAATCTAGAGAACATACAGGATGATAACAAAATTATTGCAATTGAATTGAAAATGCAACTTATTTTAATTTTTCATAGTTTCTCAGGAAATATACCATAATATCAAAATCAGATATTTTTTCATAGTAACGTTTACTGAATTAAGAAACTCATGAAAATAAAAGGAAACAGTTAACAGGAAGTATCCAAAAGCTTGTACAGTTACAAATGTTATAAAATTAAAAAATTCCTGACAGCAAATTATTGATCAGCTACCCTGATTACAAAATGTATGATATAAAACCTTGGAAAACAATATACATGTAGTTAGTGTGTTAATGTTAAGGAAGTTGTCTAGTCTGAATGCTTCCAATCACTCTGGCTGAGATAAAGTGACATTGAGTAATTATACAATGCAGGGAGGTAGGTTATGAAGGTCTATCATCTTACACCTGTGGTGTTTACAAACTAATCATGGTACATATCTTCCTGGTGTCACTACATGTTATCAGATTTACCATATAGCACACTCAGCTGGCTTACACATGACAACAAACTAAATGCGATTATATTACCGATATTTACTATATGGAAAGTGTACTATCGGTATGTTCTTCGTGTAATTAAGTGTTTGTATGCAAGGGATTTTTCCACACAAAAATGATGAATTGTGTTTAATTGTGGTTCGCCTAATGTTACCAAACAGATCATTTGGCTGTGAAAGATTGGTATTTTTTGTTGATTTGTAGGAATCTGAAAAACGCCTTTCTTAACTTGTCTCTTATTTAGTATACAAGTTGACTCCCCCTCCATATAGTAAATATCGCATTTATTTTATTATCGGTTGTATGCCAGCTGACTGTACCATCATGGCATTAACCCTTAAGACGCGATGTACGAGAATACTCGTAATAGCGCGTCTGAATCCCACAGCGAAGTACGAGAATAATCGTAAACGACCCTCTGAGAAATTGCGTTGTTTTGAATGACGTATATGTGGAGTACATCATCAATAAAGCCGAAAAACGTATGAAATAAACTTTGACCTGTGTATATGTGTGTGTTATTCTTGCCTCAACCGGGGATTCCCCGCCTAAT